CGCATGCGGGGGGGGGGGGGGGGGGGAATCAGAACCAACTTAAGGAAAAAAAATCAGAACCAATTTAAGAAAAAAAAAACCCAAAACCCTGAGTGCTTACCTTGTAGTTTCTTACCCAGCCTAATAATTATCAGCTGATATATTTTGGCAAATGTAACAGGTTTGTGAATAAAGGCAAGTATTTGGGTAGAAAGGAAATGAACCAAAGGAGAAAATTCACAGTCTACTTCCTGTAATTAATTTCTGGCATAGACTGAGACATCAAACACAACCTGGCCGAAAGAGAATTACAGGCTCTTGCAGCCCTAATTTAATGTTTTCATACTTAAATCTGTTCTGTATCCTCTCAATTTTTGAAGGGCAGAATACTGCCGAATATTGTATTACAGTAATTTTTGCAAAAATGTTCTCGTTTCAGCATGGTTCTGTAATCCTTATATCATACTAGAAAATCAGACACATTCTCATGCGTAATTGTGGTGCTAGAAACTGGACTTCCGCGTTCCCTACAAAGTAATTTCTCCAGTATTTTTATTCTTTGGTTTGGGAAGACCATGAAAACTTAACATTTAAATGATACCTGTGCAACTGAGTTGGGAGAAAACTCATGATCTTAACGCTTTTGTGTGAACGTATGTGGAGAGGCACACTTGGCCAAATGACTTTTTTCAAATAACCTTCAAAAAGTCTGTCTAAATTATCTGGGAGAGGATGAAAATCTCTGCTCAGTGGCAACCTGTGATTTAACAAAAATATAATCACTGCTGGATATCTTGGCTTTCCTTCCCAAGCGTACCTGACAGCACTTTTGACAGATAGTTTTCCTCCAGAGGAAAGTTCCTAGCATACTGATGTGTCGGAGAGCTTGCTGCACCTCGGTGTGTACATAAAAACTGTCGAGGAGTGAGGCTTTCTGCAGCCCCTCTCTCTTTTTAACACAGGTATCCCCGACTCCGAAGCCTAATAATGCCCTTCCGCCGCTGCCACTGTATGACCAGCCTCCCACTAGCCCCTACCACAGTCCGGATAAAAGAGGTTCTCAGTACTTCCCCAGATCACCGTCAACTAACGGTAAGAAATTTTGTGACAGTAAAAGAAACATTTCAGCTAAATGCTTAATTTAGAATGTTCACATTTCAGAGGGGGGAAGGAAAAAAAAAAAAGGCTTTTTTTGCAACATGAAGTTAATTCAACAATACTGAGTGGCTTGTTTGTGATGGGTTGTTGCTTGCTCTTTCAGAAAACAGCTTCAGTTCAGAGTCCCCCGGATTCTCACAGCCCCCGCGAATCCCTCCCGAAACTTCGTACGGCAAACTGCGACCCGTAAGTTAAAAACGAATACTGTTGGTTTTATCGGTGCCACAAAGTTTTAAGGCCAAGTCTAGGTAAATCGGGATAGGTACATTCAAAGCAGGGTGGTGATACAGCACCTGATGATTTGGCTCTCTCTGTTCGGCAAATCCAATTACTGTGTATAAAAATGCGGTATCTCAGATGAATACGGCGAGGAAAGGTCTGTTCGCTTCCCTTTGATAATACCATGGATGCGTCAAAAAGCTGTAGAACCTGAGAGCTATTTGAGATTAAGTGAACACTGGAACAAAACAAAGCAGCGCTTGTTTAAGCAGTAAGCCACTGTGTTTAAAGATGACCTTGAATCTTACCCGTCCCCTATCCTTCATCCAACCTGCCCTTCTGCATCTGCCTTTATGGATGTAATACCTGCATGTCTCCGTGTGAGGCACGTGAATCGTGAAATCGAACCTGGGAGGAAATTGCATCTATAATGACAGTAAAGGAGGTGTTAGTCGATAAACTTACACTGCCTTTTCAGGCGCTGGGAGATTATTTCTGTTCTTGCCACGTGTAATAACCCCTAAACAGAACTAAAAAAGAGGTGGTGAATAAATGCCAGAACGGTTTAATCATATGATTTGTACAATTGCTGCTTCTCCAACGTGCCGGCAGACAAACCTGCTTGCCAGCAGTTTGACGTAACATGCGGTCCTTGGGACTCGATTGCGTTTAGGGTTAAATTTATTTCCGAACCCCTTGATTTGAGGGTTTTGGATTAAAGATTCTTAACGATAAAGTCGATGTCTTTTGTGATGTCTTTGCTGCCTAGAAAGAGAGATTTTGCCAGGAAAGGAAAGGAAGAATTCAATCACTTAGAACTTGCAAAATCCATCTCCCAGGATTAACTTTGAAATCAAGTTTTGGGGGTTTCAAAGTCCTAAACCAAATCCTATTAAGATGTAACATTTGTATTTTCCTGGCATTCTCAATGGATGAGGTTGCAGAAAAAGAGCATTTTGGGATATTCAAAAATTATATTCTGAATATTCCAGTGGTCGGTGAGTTAGCCTTATTCATTGACATACGCAAGGCAGAGAGAGTACCGCATCGTCAAGTGTTTAAGTATTGAAGAGAGAAGTTTCACGTTATCTTATTCCCTTGTAAAAAGACACTGATTCAGCTTTTCCATTTTGTAGATTTCTATTTACCTCATGCATTTCTTGCAACTGACTGTCTTTTCAAGACATTACTACAGTGTCATGCCTTAATTAAAAGGATTTCTCTTAGTATTGCATTGTAAATATGCCTGGTTTGAAAATACTGTGAAGTTGTTCTGGTATTGCTCCACAATTCACGTTTTCCGTAGCGAGTCACTCTGGTGTATTCTGAAATCATGTGATAAAAACCCTGCATGAAATGCTGTTAGCGCTTGAGGTAATCTCTATCCGGAGCAATAATAACTTTATTGATGTGGCAGAGTGTAAAAATAGCATCAGGTTTCAGGTGTATATTGTTCAGGTCAGTGATCGATTAAATACGAGTAAGCTGCTTAGATGCAACAAGGCTTTCTTGTAGTTTCCAGTCCACGTAAGTTCCAGGCAAGGGCGGCATTCGATGTAAAGTCCAGGGTCCGTCCCAGGTTTACATACCGGATGATCCCTGGGTACAGGCAGGACAGACAGGTTATCTTCCTCGGTATGTTTACGCTGTCAGGATTGCTAGTCCTCCTGGAGAAAAATCACCTGAGAGTGGTGAGGGTTTATAAGGAAGAGCCTTGATGGCTTAATTGGAGGCTGCTGGACCTGAATTCAGCTGGTTACTCACTGCAGTTCTGTCGATCTTAATATACGATCTGTATATTTGCACCAGCTTGAGGTATAAGCCCGAAGTGGCAGTTTTAGTCTATACAAGTTCTGAAATTTTGACAGTTTTCTGATAGTTACGGGCTGGTTCTGGCTGTTTCAGGTGCGAGCAGCTCCACCACCCCCTACGCAGCATCATCGCCGGACAACAGAGAAGATAGAGGACGTGGAAATTACTCTGGTGTAATGATCGGACTAGTTAAGTAGTAGTGCTACAATCAAGACCAAACGCGGTATTTGGTCGATCTCGTTTTTAGGCACCTTTGCATGATGAAGACTTTTAATAGAGCAAGAGATAGGGAGGATTTTATGTGGCAGTGACATGGTGGATTCCTTCCCACAGTCATGACTATTTCGTGCCTTTTTTTTGTTTGTTTTGATTTCTATACGTCGTTCTTCCTCTCTTAGCACAAACCAAGACGGGCCAAACAGCGAGCAGAGGATTGCCTTGGAGCAGGTTTCTCTCTTGGCTGAAGATGGTCAAATTTATACGGAGGCTGAGGGAAGAGCCTCGTTCATGCGACCTAGTCATAGCATACTTCGATCACGTGCATTAGTACAGTATATTACTGTTGCCATAGGAATGTGTTAAAGATTGTCACTTCTTCAAGTAGCATTACTCGTCTGATTAGGTATTAATCAGATCTTGCGGAATGAAAAAGGGAACTGAAAAATAAGTGTAAGGAGAGGCTGGCTCCTCTTGAATCCCCTTGCAGAAAGGAAGAAACGGGAAAATAATCTTACAGATAAGGAAAACTGAGGCAGATCATACGGCGTTAATTACATTAATGCACACCTCTTCAATAATTAACAGTTAAACAGAACTAAATGTTCTTTGTATTAATATTTATGCAGTACATTTAGTAATAGAGTATCTAATATGGAGGTGCTGAATTAGTAGCAACATCCTGTTCCATAGCATAAACCGACTGGTAGAGAAGTAAGTGAGATTTTGTCTAGATCTGGAAATTGAGCTTCATTTTTTTCTTAGCAGATTTTGGGGGTTTTTGTTTTTGTTTTTGTTTTTAAAAAAAGTATTTGGGTCACTCTTATCCCAGTTATTGCCGTGTACTTTATTATCCAACGTTAGCAGTATATCTTTGTCATCACAACATCTGGCTAGAGTTAGAGGTTACATTTAGAGTATTTACACGCGTTATTTAGTTTTTGCATTGGATGGTCCTGTAGCATTTTCCCACGCGAAGCCCGTTAACGAGCCAAAGCCAGAGAGCCAGGAAAAGCTCCGGTTTCTGCGAAGCCTTCAGACCGCCTTTGTGGCCAAGACTGTGGTCTCAAATGACTCCCAGGCAAGAAATAGAGAGTAAAAGAATTTCAAAACTAATTTTCAGTCGGAGAGCTCTGAAAAGGAAGCTTTTTTGTCGTTGTTGTTTGAACGAAAAGGGCAGAGGATATTCTGAGGTTTAACATGGAGAGAAACGGTCAGAGGAAGGGGAAAAAAACTGGATGAAGACAGGTTTTTCTTTGTGTACTTCCTAAATTATTTTCAGCCATCTCCATCAGATCAAAGCTTCAGTTAAAAGGCATCACAAGGTTGGTTTTTTTGAGCTGTTATATGGGTTCTCTTGAATGCGCTCTTATGTCTTCACATTTTTTTTTTCTAAGCCAGTAAGTTTTCTGCCTTTAGTTTACTAACAAGGGCTATTTTTTGAGGCTGCATTTACAAAAAAAAAAAAAAAAAAAGATGATCATCTAACGAGATTTTATCATAAACTTTGCACATACTTATAAATCCCAACCCACGCTGGGTCTCCGAGACATGCGTGTTTGCCAGTCTCCTTTCCCAGCGGGATCTCTAAGCGAGAGCGGGGCTGTTTGAAGAAAACAATTTGCGGATCAGTTAGGAAATCGGTGACTGTCCAATGAAGTCTTTTCCGTATTTTCCATTCTTTTGCACCTCTTGTCCTGTTGATCTGTTTGAGGTCTTTTTATGTGTTTATCAAACTTATTCTTAAGTTTAAAGAAAAAAAAGAAAGTTTTTAAAAAAGATTTAACTGTTTGTTTGCAAAAATTTTGAAAGCTTCACAATGCAGAGGAGAAGCAAGTATTGCCATAACGTTCATGTTCGATTTCTTTGGCCAGTTTTTCTGTGTCCTTCATCCCTGGACTTTCAAAATTCAGAAAGTGTTATTTAAAGTCTCTTTAGTTGTATTTTAAAATATTTTCTGTAAAACCTGCTAATTTTATTTAAAAAAAAAAAAAAAAGAAGAAAAGTTGTAAAAATATGCCTCCTTTTTAACTATGATTTCTTCATACAGGGCATGTATTCGACGTATCATCGTGTACAGCGTCAGTACACGGAAAGCATAGGTGCAAATGCTTTCTTTATATTGGCTGTAAAAAGTTTGTATTTATTATGTATAAAAAGTTGAATAATAAAAAAGTGGAACTAAATCCATGACGTTGCCTTGATACAGACACCGCTTCGCCTCTGGCAAAATGTCGTTAGGAGGTTTGGGCCGGAGGTCTGTGACCGAGGGAGAACCTGACATTTGGGGATAAAAAGGTAAAAGCTCTTGGGTATCATTTTTACGGTTTATGCTTTTACAGGGAAATTTGAATCTCCTGCTCAGGAAAAGCCTGATGCACGTACTTGAAGCCATCTTTAAATATCGCTTTAAGGTGGTATTTATATGAGGAGCAAAATTATGCCAAAAACGGAGAGCCAGTAACAAAACCCCAGTTATCAGAACAACTGCTTGAACAGCCTTTGTGCCATTAGGAGAATCGCATAAAGAAAGAGAGGGAGAGGGTGACTGATAATAACTCTTCACTGTGATTGTCCTTCAGCAGGGTCCATTTGCCTAATTGCGCGAGGAGTATTTCCACTGCATCCCAAACCTCCCTAGCTTTAGGGTCCCTTTTTGCTCTGGGTTTCCGTGTTATTTTCTCACCAGCACTCGGAAACCGCCCTCCGGTGACCAGCTCCTTCCTCGGCTCATTTCCGTTTCTCGAAGGTGAGTGCCGTTTGCGTTGGGTGCCAAGCGATACGGGAGCTCCGCGTCCTGCTTTCCTCCCGATTTTTGCTTTCAGCTGCTTGGAGCCGAGGCTGTATTTTACCCTGTTTGGACACAGCTCGCTGCAGTAGGACTCCAGCACCATCGGCTGCTGGGCATTGCCGCGGTGTTGGGTTAGATCTTTCATCTTTCATTTCCGCTGTTCACACAGAACTGTTAACGCAGGCTTTCATCATTTTTTCCCTGAGCTCCTGCGGCCTCTTCCTTTGAGAAATCCCACCTTCCCCCGCTTTTCATATGCATTCACGGTGCTCCTCCAAAAATTATTGTCCTGGCTTCCTGCTTTGACCGCTTTGTCCTTTTCTTTTAGCTTCTTGCTCGTTGCATCTCTCCTCTTCTGGCTGCATCACACACAAACCTCTTCGCCTGCGATTCTTTTCACCGTCAGTATCGCTTACAGAGGATGTTAATCCTCAGATCCACCAATGATGCCGCTTCTCATTTCTCCCGTTTTTTAACAGGCCGCCTTCATGCCTCTACTCAACTCTCCTTCCCCCTTCCTTAAAAGCTGTGCCGTGACAAAACGAACCCAGCAGATACTGCCCGATCAGCAGGTGTGCTGCGATTGCATCATCCTTGCCATTAACGTGAGCATAACGTAGTTCCGTGAAAATCTCTTCGCCCTGACGTGCTTTCCCAACTGAGTGGCAAGCCCCCCCCCTTGCCGCCGTTTGCCTGCAAGTGGGAGGTGGCCGGGGTTTTAAGAGCACGCGGCGGCCATGAGGAGGCAAAAAAAAAAGGTGCCGAGTGAAAACAAAGGCTCTGTGGTTACCTGTTCTGCTTGGGGTGTTTAGAGAAGCAGTATGCGGAACTTGCCCGGCGCAAAGGTTTGAAATGTTGGAGCGTCGCCGTCTCCGTTAGAGCCGGGCTTTCCTCTGACGGCTCCGGTTCCCGGATTTCCAAAGAGGATAATGAGACTGCGACTCGACAGAAGTGATGGGGGTAAACGACGTAATGTGCCTTACTACAAATTAGTCGCGCCGGGGTTTCTTTTTGTTTGTTTCGTGGAAATAGCAAAAGAAACCCAGGCGGGTGGGTGAGTTCTCTTTCCCATATAGCACAAGTATCTCTCACTGTTA